GTGGAGAAAAGACAGCCTCTTCAATAAGTGGTGCTGGGAAAACTGGACAGGTACATGTAAAAGCATGAAATTAGAACACTCCCTAACACCATACACAAAAATAAGCTCAAAATGGATTAAAGACCTATATGCAAGGCCAGAAACTATCAAACTCTTAGAGGAAAACACAGGCAGGACACTCTATGACATAAATCACAGCAAGATCCTTTTGACCCACCTCCTAGAGAAAGGAAATAAAAACAAAAATAAACAAATGGGACCTAATGAAACTTCAAAGCTTTTGCACAGCAAAGGAAACCATAAACAAGACGAAAAGACAACCCTCAGAATGGGAGAAAATATTTGCAAATGAAGCAACTGACAAAGGATTAATCTCCAAAATTTACAAGCAGCTCATGCAGCTCAATAACAAAAAACCAAACAGCCCAATCCAAAAATGGGTAGAAGACCTAAATAGACATTTCTCCAAAGAACGTATACAGATTGCCAACAAACACATGAAAGGATGCTCAACATCATTAATCATTAGAGAAATGCAAATCAAAACTACAATAAGGTATCATCTCACACCGGTCAGAATGGCCATCATCAAAAAATCTAGAAACAATAAATGCTGGAGAGGGTGTGGAGAAAAGGGAACCCTCTTGCACTGCTGGTGGGAATGTAAATTGATACAGCCACTATGGAGAACAGTATGGAGGTTCCTTAAAGAACTAAAAATAGAACTACCATACGACCCAGCAATCCCACTACTGGGCATATACCCTGAGAAAACCGTAATTCAAAAAGAGTCACGTACCAAAATGTTCATTGCAGCTCTATTTACAATAGCCAGGACATGGAAGCAACCTAAGTGTCCAACACCGGATGAATGGATAAAGAAGATGTGGCACATATATACAATGGAATATTACTCAGCCATAAAAAGAAACGAAATTGAGTTATTTGTAGTGAGGTGGATGGACCTAGAGTCTGTCATACAGAGTGAAGTAAGTCAGAAAGAGAAAAACAAATACCGTATGCTAACACATATATATGGAATCTAAGAAAAAAAAAGGTCATGAAGAACCTAGGGGTAAGATGGGAATAGAGACACAGACCTACTAGAGAATGGACTTGAGGATGTGGAGAGGGGGAAGGGTAGGCTGTGACAAAATGAGAGAGTGGCATGGACATATATACACTACCAAACGTAGAATATATAGCTAGTGGGAAGCCGCCACGTAGCACAGGGAGATCAGCTCGGTGCTTTGTGACCACCTAGAGGGGTGGGGTAGGGAGGGTAGGGAGGGTGGGAGGGAGGGAGACGCAAGACGAAGGAGATATGGGAACATGTGTGTATGTATAACTGAGTCACTCTGTTATAAAGCAGAAACTAACACACCATTGTAAAGCAATTATACTCCAATAAAGATGTTAAAAATACAATAAAATAAAGTAGAGCTGATAAATACTAAAAAAAAAAAAAGAATAAGCAGGAGTGGCTATATTAATAGTGGATAAGGGAAACTTCAGAGCAAGGAAAGTGCTAGAGAAGAAAAAATGGACATAATGATAATAGGATAAACCTATCAGGAAGACATCATGATCCTAAATTTGGATGCACCAAAAAAGCAGACTCAAAATACGTGAGGCAGAAACAGAGAGCTAAGAGGAGATACAAATCCACAACTACAGTTGGGAAATTCAACATCCTACTCACAGCAATTGACAGAACTACTAGACAAAAAATCATCAAGGATGTAGAAGAACCAGTAAACACAACCAACCATCAAGATCTAAGTGACATATAGAGAACAGTTCACCCAACAACAATAGTTATAATGATGGAACTGTTCTGTGCCTGCCTATCATGGCAAATACACAAACCTGCACGTGTGATAAAACTGCAAAAAACTAAGCACACACGCACACAGAAGAGAGTACAAGTAAAAACTGGGAAATCTGAATAAAATGGTTGTGACAAACAAAAACAAACACACAGATACAGAGAACAGAATAGTCATTACCAGAGTGCGGGCGGGGTGTGAAATGGGTAAAGGGGATCAACTCTATGGTGATGGTGGAAACTAAATTTTTGGTGGTGAGCACCCTGTAGTGTATACAGAAGTAGAAATATAAGGTTGTACACATGAAACTTATATAATGTTATAAGCCAATGTTGCCTCAATAAAAACCAAGTTTTAAAAAATGCATGGGTTTTTTTAAAACACACATGAGTTTTTTTAAAAAGCAAACAAAAAAAAATGTTTGTGATATTATAGTACAATTTTCAACATGTTACCACTGGGGAAAACTAGGTGAAGGGAATAACGGCTCTTTCTGTAGTATTTCCTACAACTATATGTAAATCTGTAATTATCTAAAAATAAATTTGTTAAAAGTAGGCAAAGGGGACATCCCTGGTGGCGCAGTCGTTAAGAATCCATCTGCCAATGCAGGGGACACGGGTTTGAGCCCTGGTCTGGGAAGATCCCACATGCTGCAGAGCAACTAAGCCCGCGAGCCACAGCTACTGAGCCCACGTGCCACAACTACTGAAGCCCGTGTGTCTAGATCCCGTGCTCCACAACAAGAGAAGCCACCACAGTTAGAAGCCCACGCACCGCCATGAAGAACAGCCCCTGCTCACCACGACTAGAGAAAGCCCACGCACAGCAACGAAGACCCAACACAGCCAAAAGTAAATAAGTAAAAATAAATAAAGTACAAAAAATAAAAGTAGGCAAAGGGAAAGTTGAGAATCAAGGTTATTTTGTCAAAAAAGGTTTGACAGTTAAACATCTGGACTTCAGCAGCACAGAGAAACTTAGAAAATACAGGGTTGGACTCTTCCACTGTTGGTGGGAATGTAAACTGATACAGCCACTATGGAGAACAGTATGGAGGTTCCTTAAAAAACAGAAAATAGAACTACCATATGACCCAGCAATCCCACTACTGGGCATATACCCTGAAAAAACCATAATTCAACAAGAGACGTGTATCCCAACGTTCACTGCAGCACTATTTACAATAGCCAGGACTCGGAACCTACCTAAGTGTCCATCAACAATGAATGGATAAAGAAGATGTGGCATGTATATACAATGGAATATTACTCAGCCATGAAAAGAAACGAAAGTGAGTTATCTGTAGTGAGGTGGATGCACCTAGAGTCTGTCATACAGAGTGAAGTAAGTCAGAAAGAGAAAAACAAATACCGTACACTAACACATATATATGGAATCTAAAAAAAAAAAATGGTTCTGATGAACCCAGGGGCAGGACAGGAATAAAGACACAGACATAGAGAATGGACTTGAGGACACGGGGAGGGGGAAGGGTAAACTGGGACGAAGTGAGAGAGTGGCATGGACTTATAAATACTACCAAATGTAAAATAGCTAGCTAGTGGGAAGCAGCCATGTAGCACAGGGAGATCAGGGAGATCAGCTCGGTGCTTTGGGACCACCTAGAGGGGTGGGATGGGGAGAGTGGGAGGGAGACGCAAGAGGGAGGGGACACGGGGATATATGTGTACGTATACCTGATTCACTTTGTTATAAAGCAGAAACTAACACAACATTGTAAAGCAATTATGCTCCAATAAAGATGCTAAAAAAAGAAAAAGAAGATATAGGATTGGCAAAAAAAAAAAAAAAAAAAAAACCAAAAACCCCGAACGAACTTTTTGGCCAGCCCAATAATTGAAAATTGTTTTAAACCAGCAAGTTTGTGGTAATACAGTAGGCAGCACTGGAAAACGAATATGAGCAGAAAAATTATGACTTTCATGAAAGTGTGCCCTTTTAATATTCTGATAAAACAGCAAGTATGCTTAAAGCATTTCTGTGGCACCTCAGAAATACAGAGGTTGACACAGGAAAAGCATTTGCGCGACTGTATCAGTTCTAAGCAGTGCTAGCCACTTCTCTCATACAACATTCATCCTTGAAGGATTCAGTAGTACGACTACGGTTATACTGACTTGAGTATCTGACAGACATTTTCTTGAAAATGAATGAAGTGAGCCCTTCACTTCAAGGGAAACAACTGACAGTATTTTTTGCCAATGGTAAAATTTAAGATTTCAAGCAACGCTAAGAATTTTGAAAAACTACTACTGTGAGCTTGACAGCCTCCCGCTACTTAAAGACTTTTTCCAATGAGATGGGTGGTGATAGTAACACATGTGATGTTCTGATGTAGAATGGAATGCGTCAACACAGGGAAGGTCTGCATAAGGCAGGGCACCGACATTTTCCCAGGGACCAGTGCACAACGCTCCCAAACCACGACCAGTAAAAGATCCATTCAAAGGATAATAAGAGAGGGGCTTCACTGGGGTCAAGGATGGAAGATCCATTAATACGGTTTCATATTCCACACTGCACTTAACCTGTAAGAAACAACCAATGGCTGAATTTTTGTGTCGTATCAAAGGAGAATGTCCATAATTACATGAATAGTCAATTGAAATACTCCTCCTTTTTCCAGCTGCATATTTATAGGAAGCCAGATTTCCTTCATATACTTCAACCATAACAATATATCACAACAATTGAATCCAGAAGTAGATGTGAGAGCCCAGCTCTTCCACTAGGATAGAGGTCACAGAAATTTTCAAAAATATGCAAAAAAATATTCCCACTAAATTCTGTTTTTGTCTTGCAAAGCATAGTCATTTACCATAAAAATATGCTATTTATCTTAACAGATATGGCTGTATTATTGTTCATTTAAAATTAATAAAAATATTAAATTTGTTTTTCAGTTTTAAGTTCAAAGATGATAAATACTGATAGACGTGACCCACGCCTCAATAGAGATCCTCCATAATTTGAGGAGTCCTGAGACCAAAACGTTTGAGAACCACTGTTGTAGGGTTCTCCTGGGCCTTGAAGTGCCCCCAGCTCTGCCAGGCCAGGAGTGGCTCTGTGGGCTGTTGTAGTTAATGAGCTACACCCTGACCGGGGAGCTACAGCACTGGCCTGTGCCTTCAACCAGCTGTGACTTACCTCCTCCTCCTGCACTCGGCTTCCTGTGGCCATGATCTTGATCATCCAAAGCATCGGCCAAGTCAAATTTACTACCTTCAGTGAAGCCCCAAAACATAAAAAAAAAAAAAAAACAGCCAACTGATTAGCAACTGGGTACAAGATTCCAAAAAAACAAGTCCACATTCATGGGCTCTGCTGATCAGCGAAATCAATGAGTTAAGACAAAGAAACTTAAATTGGGGTCTGACTCCTTCTACAGACACTGATAATGGAAATACCAACAGGATGGAGCAAGTTACTGCTTTCTGCCTTTGCAATATATTTACCAATTTTCCACTACTTTATATTCTCACACATGCTTTGCTTAGGCCAGCAGTCAGACCATTTTAACAGTAAACTCACTGATTATAGGTATTGACCCAAGATTTAAAACCAGCTGCATAGAGTCAGAAACTGGACACTCAAGAGGGAGGCTACGTGGTCACAATGCGCCTCTTTGAGGCTGCAGATGCGAAGACGTGAGGGCAAACTGTAAAGCAGCACTCACTCTTTTGGGTCATGACTGTCTCTTCAGAAGAAAGGTAGCTATCCACTTCAAGGAACACAGTAGCATGCTCCTTAAGTACTAGTAACAAGTTGCCAGATGGGAGCAATGACTGCGCTCCCCACCCCAAGGCTACGTTTCTCTTTATATCAGGGAAGATATCTGAATAGTAAAATGGCCCATCTGGAGAAAAGTTAAAACAGCTCCAGGAAAGAGTCACAGAGAAGCAACAAGTTCCAAAATCCTTCAGTGAAAGATGACACTGTAAAGCAAATGCCATTTCAAAATGCTCCATCTGCCTAAAGGAAATGTTTGATGGGCTTCATAAAACCTAAACAATTATATCTTCCCTGATTTTAGAGTGTAAAATGGTTGAAGAGGGGAGGAAGTCCAAATGCATTTTTCTCCTGAAATTCTCCAAAGCAGGACTTTTCATAAAACACACAGAAGTCATAGTGACTGGTCATACTCTGTTAAGTTAAACCCAGTGTTCAGATGAAGGTCTTGGTTGGCATTACACACACAGGACTTAAAACTATGGGTAGTTCAACTGGATACTATCCCAGAGGGAGCTCCACGGGGTCCCTCCTTAGTGCCCTCCTCAGAACAGCCGTGTTACCTGCAGGCTTTGCTGGAGCTCTGGTCGCTCCCGGTCTCCTGGTTGTGGTGGTGACACGGTCCCATCTCTCTAAAAGGGGGAAGGGGGACAGCAAGGGGAGCACAATTAGTAACGACACACAGCAGCCACTGCACGGCTCAGGGAAGTCACAGCACGAGCACAGCACTCCTGTCCTGGTCCTTGAGGTCCCTCTAATGCCTCTGAAGAACCACCTTGAGGATGACAAAGAGATGTAAGAGGGTTTACATGAGACGAGTTCTGCTTGCTTTTCTTCACAGGATGGGTGGTGAGGTGGACATGATCCCACATTTGATCTGGTGATTAGTGGAGCTGGGACTTGAGCCCAGATCTACAGGAGATGACCACATGCTTCAGGGGGTCCCAGAGCTTGAGCACAACCCCTGAGAGCTCCAAGCCTTGGCTGTCACCACTCTCAACACGGCACCGTAATCACAGGTAATACTGCCCAGGGATGAAGTGACGCTATGTTCCCAGCAGAGTATGGGAGTGTCTCATCATCAGCTGAAAGTGGTTACAACACCAACAAAATATTTTATATAAGTGTGGTTACTGCTGTTAATACTAGGTCTTTCAGCTCAACCCTATTCCTTTAAAACTGTGGACTTCTTGCCCATCAATTACGCAGCATATGCCACACATGAGTTTTCCAATAGTTTTTCTTGAACTTCAAGACTATGTTGTTAAAAAAATAAAAATAAAAATAATGAAGCCCCCCAAAAAAGACTATGCTGTAACTGTTCCTACAATTAGAGGTGGAAGAGGGAAATGAAATTTAAGTAATGGGAGACGCAGAGATGAAACAGGTTTGGCTTTATGCACAGCAACCATTCAATAAGTTATCAACTACCCAGAAAAAAACAGCAAAAATAGAAATTGGTTGAAAGTAAAAGGATGGATAAAGGTATAGTATACAAATAGCAACCATAAGAGAGCTGGGGGAGCTACACTATTATGAGATAAAATAGTCTTTAAGACAAAAATTGTCATAGGAGTCAAAGAGTGACATTTTATACTGATAAAAGGATAAACCCAGCAGTAAGATATACAATTTTAAACATGTGCACCTAACAATAGAACCCCCAAAATATATGAAGCAAAATGTAACAAAACTGAAGGGAAGGAGAGACAATTCAACAATAGTTGGATATCTCAATGCAATCCTTTCAATCATAAATAGAACAAGAGGGAAATACAAGATTTGAACGACACTATAAACCAACTAGATCTACCAGACATCTATATAGCTCAATATATTTTAAAATTCTGAAATCATACAAATTGTGTTCCCCAACCACCATGGAATGAAAATAGAAATCATTAACAGAAGGGCATGTGAAAAATTTCCAGCTATATGGCAATTACACAACACACTCCTAATAACCAATGGTTCAGGGAAGAAATCACAAGGGAAATCATAAAATACACTTGAGATGAATGAAAATAAGAACACAACATATTAAAATTTCTGTCACAGCAAAGGAAACCATTGACAAAACAAAAAGACAACCTACTGAATGGGAGAAAATATTTGCAAATGATTGATCGATAAGGCATTAACATCCAACACATACAAACAGCTCATACAACTCAACATCAAAAAAAACCAAACAACCCGATTAAAAAATGGGAAGAAGTGAATAGACATTTTTCCAAAGAGGAAATGCAGATGGCCAACAGACACATGAAAAGAGGCTCAACATCACTTATCATCAGGGAAATGCCAATCAAAACCACAATGAGATATTACCTCACACCTGTCAGAATGGCTATCATCAAAAAGACAACACACAAAAAATGCTAGCAACAATGTGGAGAAAAGGGAACCCTCCTACACTGCTGGTAGGGATGTAAATTGGTCCAGCCACTGTGGAAAACAGTATGGGGGTTTCTTAAAAAACTAAAAATAGAACTTCCATATGGCCCAACAATTGCACTCCTGGGTATATATCCAAAAAAACCCCAAAAACACTAATTCAAAAAGATACATGCACAATGTTCACAGCAGCATTATTTACAATTGCCAAAATATGGAAGCAATATAAGTGTCCATCAACAGATGAATGGAAAAAGAAGTGATGTGTACATACACACACACACACACACACACACACACACACAATGGAATACTACTCAGCCATAAAAAAGAATGAAGTTTTGCCATCTGCAACAACATGGCAAGACTTGGAGGGTATTATGATAACTGAATGACAAATACTGTATCATAGCACTTACATGTGGAATCTAAAAAATACAACAAACTAGTGAACACTTAAAAAAGAAACAGACTCACAGATATAGAAAATAAACTAGTAGTTACCAGTGGGGAGAAGGAAGGGGAGGAGGGGCAAGATAGGGGTAGGGGACTAAGAGGTGCAAATTATTATATATAAAATGTGCTACAAGGATATACTGTACAACACAGGGAGTACAGCCAATATTCTATAATAACTATAAATGGAGTAGAACCTTTAAAAATTGTGAAGCACTAAACTGTACACCTGTGACTTACATAATATTGTACATCAACTACTACACTTCAATCTTAAAAAATGGGCAAAGGACTTTTCTCCAAAGAAAACATACAAATGGCCATCAGGTACATGAAAAGATGCTCAACATCACTAATCATCAGGGATATGCAAATCAAAACCACAATGAGACATCATCTCATACCTGTTGGGATGACTACTATCAAAAAAACAAAAGATAATGTGTTGATGAGGTTGTAGAGAAAAGGGAGCCCCTCCTACACTGTCGGTGGGAATGTAAAATGGTACACCCACGAAGAAAAACAGTATGGAGGTTCCTCAAAAAAATGAAAAATAGAACTATCATTTGGGGACTTCCCTGGTGGTGCAGTGGTTAAGAATCCGCCTGCCAATGCAGGGGACACGGGTTCGAGCCCTAGTCCGGGAGGATCCCACATGCCGCGGAGCAACTAGGCCCGTGCACCACAACTACTGAGCCCGCGAGCCACAACTACTGAAGCACACGTGCCTAGAGCCCGTGCTCTGCAAGAGAAGCCACAGCAATGAGAAGCCTGTGCACCACAACGAAGAGTAGCCCCTGCTCTCTGCAACTAGAGAAAGCCCATGCAGCAATGAAGACCCAATGCAGCCAAAAATAAATAAAAAATAAGTAAACTTATTTAAAAAAAAAAAAACTATCATTTGATCCAGCAATCCTACTTTTGGGTATATATCCAAAAGAAATGAAATAAGGATCTCAAAGAGGTAACATGTCCAAGTTCACTGTAGCATTAATCTCAATAGCCACAATATGGAAACAACTCAAGTGTCCATTAATGGATGACTGGATAATGAAAACGTGGAATATACATGCAATGGAATATTATTCATCCTTAAAAAATAAGAAAATCCTGCCCTTTGGGACAACATGGATGGACTTGGAGGACATCATGCTAAATGAAGCCAGACACAAAAGAATACTACATGACTCTACTTTTATGAGGAATCTAAAATAGTCAAATTCATACAGAGTAGAATTGTGGTCACCAGGGGCTTGAGGGAGAGGGAAATGGAGGAGGTGTCAGTCAAAGGGTACAAAAGTCTGGGGGGGAAAAGGAAAATAAGCTGGTGAGGATGTGGAAAAATTGGAATCCTCATACACTGCTGGTAGGAATGTAAAATGGTACAGCGACTGTGGAAAAAAGTTTGGCAGTTCCTCCAAAAGTTAAACACAGAATGTTAAACACAGAATGACCATATGACCTTGTGATTCCACTCCCAGGGTATACACCCTAAAGCATTAAAAGCAGGTATTCAAACAAGAACATGTACATGCAAACAAAAACATGTACGTGCATGTTCATAGCAGCATTCTTCATAATAGCCAAAAGATGGAAACAGTCAAACGTCCATCAACTGATGAATAGATAAAACTGTGGTCTATCCATACAATGGAATATTACTCAGATGTAAAAAGGAATGAAACACTGATACATGCTATAAGGTGGATGAACCTCCAAAACATTATGCTATGTGAGAGAAGCCAAAGACAAAAGGTTCCACATTATATGATACTATTTATATGAAATATCTTGGAGAGATCCATCAACTGATACAGAAAGTAGATTGATGATTGTCTGGGGCTAGGGGGAGGCAGAAATGAGAAGAAACTGCTTAATGGGTAAGGGTTCTTACTCTGGAGTAATGGAAATGTTTTAGGACTGGATAGAGGTGGTGGTTGCACCACGGTGAATGTCTTAAAATGCTACTGAATTGTTCGCTTTAAAATGGCTCCTTTTATGTTACGTGAATTTTACTTCAATAGATTACTTACAAAGAGGGAAGGGTGGGAAAGGAGGGTATCATCGCAACTGCATGTGCATTCTACCACAATTCGGTTTTAGTAAAAGTATAGAGGGAAGTTGAGAATACGGAAAGTCTTTCTCTTAAAATGATCATATTTCCTTCACTCTTTGTGAAGGCTTTGGGTACACGAATGCATAGGTCAATGTGGAGGCCACACCAGTGGATGGAGTTTTACGGTAAGGGACCACAAGTGATAATCTGTTGTCATTATGCAATTTTTAAATCTAGATCATCAGTTTAGAGACGGTTTTATATCTATAATTTCCATTTGACTTTGCACCTGTAATACGAAGTAACAGCTTACCTGTCTAAATGGGGCTCCTTATGTACACCTTACATTATGGTGATATGTATAGTTAGGAAAGGGAAATGACATCACTGAAACCATTATTTGTGCAACATTCAGAAAAGCAATTGCCACTTATATAATATTAGCTTAAAATCCGTATGCTTCATGCAGTGCTTGTGTAAAAATATTTCTTTTTCCAGCTTTAAAAAAAAATCAACTGAACGTAGACGTGAAGGGTTTACTTGGGGGACTCTGATTTCTGTTCTATCCTTATGCTGTGCCACACTGTCCTGATCACGATAGCTTTGTGGACCTCTGCCCTACTACTAACAGTTTCTGAGGAGCCTGGTTTCTCGGAAGATCTGCAGGTGCTGGTTCAAGAGAATGCGCTCCTTACATGTCTAGGGAACCCGATGCTCTGCCAGAGCCTGAGCCTGCAGTGATACAGAGCATGACCTTGGATTTGCGTACTTTTAAGATACCATTAACTACAGATTTTCTTGTTGTGAGCCTTTAAATGGGATTTATTATCATCCATAATTGAGATGAGCAAAGTCTGGCTACTTATCAAGGAATTAGAATAGTAGGTCACCGTCATCAAAGCAAAGAGCTCCTAAAATAAAGACATCTGTTCCTGTGAAGCCTTGCTCAAAATGACAAACTTAGAAAGGATTCTCTGATGCTCAGCAAATGCTGCCCGCAACACTGCACTCCTGCCCGGAGCACCTCTTTGTAAGGTGTGCCGCACCCCTGGGTGTGGCTTAACGACAGTGCCATGGCATTCATAGAAAAACAGGGCACTCATGAGAAGCTTGATTCGGCAAAAGCAGAAGTGGGTTCCCCCTGTGAGATGATTGCACACAGAGAGAAAAAGGGAGAGATGAGGGGAGAGATGGAGGGAAGTGGGGAGTGAAGGCAGGGGAGAGGGAGGGGCAAATTCTGAAAGCAACATGGTGAACCTTGAAAGTGTTACGCTAAGTGAAAGCAGCCAAGATAGAAAAAAAGGATGGCAGAGTGATGTGGTCTTGAAGGATGTCATTCAACCGAAGACACCATATGCTGGTGGTCCTACAGGTCCCAGACACACTGGCTCATGGGTGCTGATGACGATCAAAGAGCCAGTGCACATTTGACAAAGGGATATAAATATTAAAAAGTCCTCCATCAGGAAATTAACAAATTTACTAGTTAGGGGTCTGTTTATACTTACTGTGTTTGTTTTGTTGTTTGGTCACGTTTGGTTTTGGAAATGTTAAACAATTTCATTAAAACCGTCACTGCTAATAAATTAAGTATATTTATTTTCCTGAGAATCTAAAAGGCCACCTGCATGTATAGGACTGTGGACATGTACAGGAAAGACCTGAAAATGCTCAAGGCTCTCACCTCACACCACACACAAAACTATAAAGCTCTTAGAAGTTCATTTTTAGGTATATGATCCATTTTGAGTTAATTTTTGTGTAATGTATAAGGCAGGGATCCAAATTCATTTTTTGCATGTGGATATCCAATTGTCTCATCACCATTTATTGAAGACACCATTCTTCCCCCACTGAATAGTCTTGGCATCTTGGTCAAAAGTTAACTGGCCATAGATGTAATGGTTCATTTCTAGACTCTCAATTTTATTTCACTGAGCTCTATGTCTATCTTTATGATAAGTACCACACTATCTTGATTACTGCATGTTTGTAGTAAGTTCTGAAATTTAGAAGTGTGAGTCCTCCAACTTTTTCTTGTCTTTCAAGATTGTTTTGACTATTCTGGGTTCCATGAATTTCCATATGTATTTTAGGATCAGCTTGTCTGCAAAAATTCTATCTGGAAGTTTGACCGGAATTATGTTTAATTTGTTGATTAATTTAAGCAGGTGAGCATTCCTCACGTATGCCTGACTCTTACACCACAGACCCAGCCACAGTAAGTCCTTCCAATGAAATCAGTCAAAGAACAATAATAATGGCTGACACTGCGCACTCACCTTGTACCGAGTCCTCTGCTGAACACTTCACAGGGGCCATCTTATCTAACCCTTACAATTATTATTAATTTATTATTATTAACCTCATGCAACAGATGAGGAAACTGAGGTGCAAAGAAGTCAGATAACTCACCCAAGATAACAGTTAATAAGTGGCAGAGGCAGGGTTCAGACACAGGCAGTCTAACTCCAGAGCCCGTGCCTTTGTCAGTCCTGAATATACAAAGAGACCTCTCAAACGCATTAAAAAAAAAAAAAAAGACAAGCAACCTGGCAGAAAAATGGGGAAAGGATATGAACAGACAATTCACCAAGAGGAAAATGCAAATGGCAAAAAAATATATGATTTTTTTTATCCATCATACTGGTAAAATGTTTTTGATTGGTAAAATCTGGCGATGGTATGGGTCTGGGGGAGAAACGTACTCTTGTAACAGCATCTGTGGGAGTACACAATGGCACATGCATTTTGGAAACAATTTGTCAAAATCTATTAAAATATAAAATACATATACCCTTTGGCCTGATAGTTTCATTATACTTGGACACAAAGGAAATAGACAAGAATGTTCACTGAAGTCCCATTTGTAATTGTGCAAAACAGAAACAAACCACGTGCCTGCCAGTAAGAAGTGGCATCACTGGCCATGGCCAAAGCCACACCACTGGAATGCCAGCTCCACGAAGCATACGTTTGTGAATGAGATATAGGTATAAAAATATAGATATATAGATAATATAGTGTGTTGAATAGTGGCCCCCCAAATATATAGCCATGTCCTAAGCTCCAGAACTTATGAATGTGACCTTATTTGGAAAAAGGGTCTTTGCAGATGTAATTAAGTAAAGATCTTGAGATGAGGTCATTCAAGATTATCCAGATGGGCTCTAAAACCAACAAAAAGTGTCCTTATAAGAGACTGAAGAGGAGAAGTCACACACACAAGGAGAAGGCCAAGTGAAGACGGAGGCAGAGACTGGAGCCATGCAGCTGCAAGCCGAGGACCACCTGGAGCCGCCAGAAACTAGGCTAGGCAAGGAAGCATTCTTCTCCTAGAGCCTTCAAGCAGGCGTAGGGTCCCACCGACACCTTGATTTTGGACTTCTGGCCTCAAGAACTGTGAGTGAATAAATTTCTGTGGTTTTAGGCCACCCAGTCTGTGGTACTTTGTTACAGCTGCCTGTAAGAAAGGAAACTAACATAGATAGCTATATTCACTCAGGTCTTCAATACATATTCAGTTTTTTTTTCAGTTGTGAAATACATATAACTGAAATGAAAAAAAGCCCTACACGTGTTATGTAAAACAAAATCACTGAATAATCTATGAGTGCAGATGTTCACAACAGCAGAGAAAACTAGCTGGGACCAGCATATCTTAAACTGACTTAGGCAGCTCCCTCTTGGGATGGGAGTGGGTGTTGTAGGATGGGGAGGGATCAATGGAAATATCAACTTTACTTTCTAAGCATTCATGCATTTTTTTAAAAGAATGGTTTAAATTTTTTTCTCAAAAGAATGTAAAGAGAAACTGATGACAAAGCTTAGCATTTGAGAGATTACCTGTAGATACGGTTCTAAGAATACCTGTTATAAAAAGATCTAAAAGGAGAAACAAATCCTTTATTCATTTCCAAGTATCTTTTTCTGAGCTAGAAAAAGATAGATAGTCCTTGGAGGCCACTGTTGAGGTGTCACACCAGTAAAGGCTATGACTTGAGCCAGAGAAAATCCTGTATCAGTTATTGCACATTTTTGGTATTCTCCACAAAGGAAACAAAGGATTTTAAATATTCAGATCTTCTTTAAATAATGCAATTTATGATAAACATGTTATATCGGATCAGGTGAAATACAGGCCATCTACTGTTTTCCCTGAATGTGTATTCTGAATGGGTAGTGCATATTAAGCATTATTATTTGCTTTTAATAGTTTGATTTACTACTCACGCTTCACTGAGGAAGTTTCTTCCAATGCATCCCCCAGACTGAAACCAACGTCCCCAGATCCTAAAAATTAAAAAAAAAAAAAAAAAAAAAAAAGATTTTTGAATGTAACTATCTTTGCAAAACACAAAATAATACTGAAATACTCTTGTAATGGTCACTTCCCTTTAGACAGTGTCATGAAGATACTGCCACAAAAGGAAATCAGTTGAAACCACCCAAAGATATATTGAATGGATATCCTTCGACAAGCAACCTATTGCTACCAAAACAACAACAACAAAACAAACAGTCTTCAGTCTACTTGAAGGCTGAAGGCTCAACTGTATGAAACATGAAGCACAATCTTATTTAAAAAAACCTTATAGTATGACTTTTGCAACAGGGAGTATCAGAGCCCCAAAACTCCACTGATAATGGGCAAGTCCTTTCACCCCATCCCAGCTCTCACACAAAGGCTGCTCTGCATTTTGGCAACCCAGGGCACCTTCCCCCCGATCCCAGCAACTACACCTAGACTAGTATCTCTAATTACACATAACTAAAAAGGCGCTGGGGAAGAGTTGTTCATTCACACTGAATCTGTCCTCAGAAGTGGACCCATCTGCCCAACCCTGACTGCTATTGAACTTGACAGCTTTCATTCCCTCTAGATGGGCATGTAGTTTCCCACCGGGGTATATACATTAACTCTCAAGCAAACCACTATGCATGTATACTGAAGTTGAACAAATAAGTAAATGGACAGTGGATTACAGAAGCCAGGTTTCTCACTCTTGGAGAGGGAGGTTACAGATAAGCAGAGAAGGCTAGAATGATCCAACTCTGAGTGTGGATCAGAGTTGGAGACCTCCGTATGAACCACATTTAGCTTAATATATATACAGATGGTTACATATAGAAATATTCATAAACATGTGTATATACATGGGTTAGTATGCGGATATATATTCCCTTGCTCTGTCAGGTGAAAAGGCCTAGAAGCAACAACACCCCAGTAGCAATGAACACACCGAGCACCCAGATCTTGGTTTCTAAATACCATTCTCCAATAAATGGAACCAGTGCTCCTTGGAGAAATGGCTGATTCTAGAATTGGGGCAGGAAATATCTAGATGAGTTTGGAGCATCTTACAGTGCTAGGAAGTACTTTAAAATGTATTGATATTGGTTGGTATATGTCAAAGGACCACAGGACTGACTGAAAGAGTTCTCAATGGCTAAAGGTGGAACAATTTTAAGCAGCAAAATAAAGTGGTATTGGATTATGACCCTAAGTATAAATTTCCATGAGTCCAGGCTGATATAAATAATTGAACAAAAACATGAAAAGGAGAGAACAGAAGAATTCAAATTAATTTATGTAGATATTTCTCCTCTCCATAAATGTTGACTTCCTTCCAAGATTACAGTATGAGAAGGTGGGGAGAAACCAGTGGAGAAACCTGACAAACACTACATCAGCCAGGCGATCAAGGTTAACTTTAACAGTGATGAGTCATATTGATACTATATTCCCTTGATATGATGTGATGAGAAGGGCACTACACCTGTGTGGTCTTCCTCTCAAGGAAGTGTAACTCTATAACCCCAGTATAATCATAAGGAAAACATCAGAGAAATTCCAGTTGAGGGGCATCTGACAAAATACCTGACTAATACTCCTCAAAACTGTCAAGGTCATCAAAAACAAAGTTTGAGAAACTGGCATAGCTTGAAGAGCCTACGGAGATGTAATGATGGAAAGTCATGTGGTACCCTTGATTGGATCCTAGAACAAAAAAATGACTTTAAGTAAAAACTAAGGAAGTATGAATAGAGTATGGACTTTAGTTAATAATAGTGTATCAATGTTGGTTCATTAATTGTGACCAACGCACCATGCTAATATAAAATGTTAATAATGTGGGAAACGGGGTGTAGAGCACATTAGAACTCTTTGCACTAGTTTTGCATTGTAAATATAAAACTGTTCTTAAAATGTTTATTTTTAAAAATACATTTTATATAGCAAAAAAAAAAAAAAAAGGTAATCACTAAAAGAAGAGTTATAGGATATATAACCTCTAACTTATTCAAGAAAAAAATAGAAAGGTCAACACCAACAACTAAATTTCAATCCAACAAAAGTCACCAAATGGAAAAAAGAAACAAAAACATGTTAAATAGAAAACATGGACTTTAACATAAGAATAGGTACAATCATATCAGTAAAAAGTGAGTGTAAATAGAATAAATCTCCTATCAAAAGATAAATGGGGACTTCCCTGGTGGCACAGCAGTTAAGAATCTGCCTGCCAATGCAGGGGACACGGTTCAAGCCCTGGTCCAGGAAGATCCTACGTGCCGCGGAGCAACTAAGCCCGTGCGCCACAACTACTGAGCCCGTGTGCCACAACTACTGAAGCCCGTGCACCTAGAGCCCATGTTCTGCAACAAGAGAAGCCCCGCAATGAGAAGCCCGTGCACCGCAATGAAGAGTAGCCTGCACACCACAACGACGAGTAGCCCCTGCTCGCCACAACTAGAGAAAGCCTGCGCGGGGCAAAGAAGACCCAACGCGGCCAAATAAATTTTTTTAAAAAAGATAAATGGGATAAAAAATTACTATATGCTGTTGACAAAATATACACCTAAAACAAAACATATATATATAAACAAACATACATATAAACATACATATAAACTTATATATATATATAAAAATATATATGTGTGTATATAAAATAGAGAAATATATCAGGCAAATGCTAACAGGAAGGAAACAATATTAATATAAGACAAAGATAAAATTTAAGACCTAAACCTCTAAACAGGAAATGAGCAATATTTTATGGGAATAAAGCATATAATCCACCAATAAAATAAAAGTCTTGGGCTTCCCTGGTGGCGCAGTGGTTGAGAATCTGCCTGCTAATGCAGGGCACACGGATTCGAGCCCTGGTCTGGGATGATCCCACATGCCGCGGAGCAACTAGGCCCGTGAGCCACAACTCACTGAGCCTGCACGTCTGGAGCCTGTGCTCGGTAACAAGAGAGGCCGCAATAGTGAGAGGCCCGCGCACCGCGATGAAGAGTGGCCCCCGCTTTCCACAACTAGAGAAAGCCCTCGCACAGAAACGAAGACCCAACACAGCAAAAATAAATAAATAAATAAATAAACTCCTACCCCCAACATCTTAAAAAAATAAAATAAAAGTCTTACACTTAATAATCTAGCTTCTAAAATTCTAAAGTAGACTTTTGCTTCTTGCTATGATGAAATAATTGGTATCAGATTAGCTTTCCCATCATAAACGACCATAAAATAGACAAAACACAAAGCAACAGCTTTCAGCATTGAATAAGCACTGAGAGACCACAGTCCCTGAGATCAGGGAAATCATGACAGCTAAATCCAACAGGTATTCCTGGATTGGATCCTGAACCTATAAAGATCATCAATGGGACAATCAGTGAAATCTGAATGAGGTCTGTGGACTAGATGGTAATACTGGATCACTGTCACTTTCCTGATCTTGATGGACGTACTCTGGTTGTGGAGGAGGGTGTCCTTGTTTTTGAGAAACGCACACTGAAGTATCAGGAGGTAATGGGCATCATGTTTGGGACTGATTCTGAAATTATTCAGAAGAAAAGTATTTGGAGATACATATACACACCAGAGCAAATGTGGTAAAACTGGGAAATCTAGGTGAATAGTAAATGGGAATTCCTTGTATTAGATATTACTGGAACAACTGGTGAAACTTGAATGAAGTCTTAGGATTAGGTAGTATTAACGGTTCAGTGTTACTTTTCTGATTCAGATGTTTACATTGATGATATACAAAAGGATGTTTGTAGGAAATGGACTCTGAAGTATGCTGTGGGAGAAGGGATGATAGGGCATGGTAACATATTCTTAAATTATTGGGGGGAAAAAGGTTCCGTGTACTATACTTGCAAGTTTCCTGCAGGTCTGTAACTGTTTAAACATTTAAAGAATTAAAATAATTTAAATATGCATATTTCTTATTCCAACAATTGTACTTCCAGGTACGTGTTACAGAAAAATACTTATACATGTGCCCAAAGAGTTATGTACAGGATGTTCATAGCAGTACTGCTTACAACAGCAAAAAGAAATGGAAACAGACCAAGTGTTCAAAGAAGAATAGTTGAATTAAATATGGTAAATATGGTTCTTCAATACAATAAAACGTTCTGTAGCTGTTTAAAAGAATGGGATACTCTCAGTAAACTAGGACTAGAAGGCAATTTCCTCAACTTGACAATGAGTATCTACAAAAAACCTACAGCTAACATGATATTTAAGGGTGAGAAACCAAAGCTTTAGAAGATGGGGATGAAGGCAATGATGTCCCTTCTCACCACTGCTTTTCAACATCATACTGGCAGTCCCAGCTACTTCAATAAGAAAAGGAAAAAAAGGTATAAAGATTGGGAAGGAAGAAATAAAACTGTCTTTGTTTGCAGAGGACATGATCATACAAAATAATCCAACCCCCCCCAAAAAAACCCAAAACAAAAAACTCCTGGAACTAATAAGTAACTACAGCAAGGGTGCAGGATATAAGGTTAATACAAAAGTCAATCAATTTCCTATGTACCATCAATGAACAAATGGAATCTGAAATAAAAACACAACACCATTTACATTAGCGCCCCCCCAAATAAATGCCTGATATAAATCTAACAAAATTTGCACAAGATCTATATAAAGCAAACTACAGAACTCTGATGAAAGAAATCAGAAGAGAACTAAATAAATGGAGAGATATTCCATGGATAGGAAGACTCAATACTGTCAAGATTTCAGTTCTTCCTAATTTGATTTATAGATTCAGTGCAATCACAATCAAAATGTCAGCAAATGATCTTGTGATTAACAAACTGATCAAGTTTATATGGAGAGGAAAAAAAAAAACAGAATAGCCAATACAATACTGAATGAAAAGAACAAAGTTGGAGGACTGACAACTACACAACCTCAAGACTTACTATAAAGTTATAGTAATCAACATAGTGTGGTATTAGCAACAGACAGATCAATGGAACAG